TATTAACGTAGGATATTATTCGTCATGGGCATAAAAAACCAAAGAGTCTAATCAAAAGAATAGAAATGAATGTCTCCAACATTTTTTGGGGAGAAAAAAAAATCTGGTAATGAGTGAAAAAATATTTTTCTGCGAGTGTTTCATTTTCCTCTTCTCTTCCCTAGGGATTGAAATTCTCGTACTTCTATACACATGTCAAATTGTACCAAATATCGGAGAAATAGTCAGTGATAACCGGATAATAGGAATTTATTGGAGACGCTCGTAGCTGGAGTACAATTATTTGGAACGACGTAAGTGATAAAGTGAATGGCAAAACGCTTTCTTGGCACAGACTCCAGAAAATCCCTTATATCAATCATCATTATCGCTATTATAACCGCAGTAGAGGTTTCATGTAATAAAATTGAAAAATAAGATTGGCGTAATTTCCGAAATTTATTAACAAAATGGCTGATTATTATCTATATTATCCATACATAAATGGTTCTTGACCGTAACGTTCCCTTCTTTTCGCCTTTTTTGATAATTCCTCTTCCTTTTGTATTGAGCTAATTATATTAGATTGTGTACTCATTTGAAAGCTTATTGAATAGGCTTTAAAGAGAGACTTGAACTCTGGGATTCCCACGATTTTACAGCGAGCTATCGCGTTTTGAACGTGAAAATAGGATTTTTATGTTTCACGTAAATTTTCACTTCAGTTCAATTTTTCTATATTTACAAAAAAAATAATTAGTAGTATTTATTTTCAACTTCAATTTAATGAACTGTTTTAAAGAACATTGTATCGAAGTTATTGAAGTTTTTATGTTGCAGTTATTATAATTTATGGAGAGTTATTAACATTTTTCCTTTTTTTATCGTTATGACATCTAAAATTCCCCTTAATCCCTTCTTATCTACCATTTTATGTAGTTTATGAAAATATATATTACAAACCATTTCGAAGGTCTTGACGCGTGCTACAATGGTCTCTGGGTTTTTAATTCTAATTCGAATTTAATTCAATCGCTTAATTTCAATTTTTGAAAATTTCAATCGATTTCAATATTTTTATTTCAATATTTATTTAATTCAATTTTTTGCTTTCAATTATTCTATTTGATTTACATTCGATACTCGCATTTCTTGGAATTACATGCAATTGACTTGGAAGAAATTCAAATCGAAATTTGCGAATTGCTTAATATTAAAAAACATTTTTAGCTGTAACGGAAAAATCTGGTGCATTGTTCAGCCCTGAGTTATCTCGTCAGTCAGAAAGATGATCCTTTTTCCCTTTTGCTATCCTTATACGCTTGGCTTCAAAAAGAGAAATACGAAGCTGGAAAACTCAACGGCGATCTCATGAAATCAGATCCATCGAGATTGGGATTCTTGATGGAAACGCGAACGTTCGATAAAGTATTTCTATTTTTTTCGTCCATCGATGGAATCAAAAAAAAAACATCATAAACGGAATATTAAAATAATCCGAGAAGAAACCATTGATAAAAAA